AGAGTCCTATTTATAGAGGAAATGAGTTTGTAGCTATTGGGGATTGATTTGAGATGAAAATTCTCATTGAAGATTTGAAAAACTAGACATTTGCAGCATTCTAGGCAAGAACTGATCGATTGGTTTTTGGACTCAATCGATCCTATACACTACTCGATTAATCCCTTATTATAGGAGATCGATCCTTTTTGGCCAGTTTGCAATTTCATGGCTTTCTACATTAAAAAAAAAAAAAACCAATCAATCCATTCCTTTAAGGGATAGATCTATTTTACCAAACCCTAGAACAAATCAATCTTATATCTCAGGGGATCGATTCGATCAATCAGGGGATCAATCTTGTAAACCAGAATATCGATCCCTTCTTTCCTAACTTGTATAATACCTTTTTTAAATGTGGAAAGAGGTTGGTTTTTTTTTATCTTAAATCATTTTTCACTTTATAAATCACTTAAACATTTTCATTTTGTGTTCAAAACATTTTCTAAGTTTTGTAGATCAAATATTATTTGGAAAAACATACTATTTATTTAGTACCAAAAATAATAAAACATAAAAATGTATTAAATAAACCTTTTCAAGTCAAAAATCATTTTCCAAAATATTTTTTATTTCAAACATATTATTTATTTAGTACTAATAGTAATAAAACTTAATAACATTATACTAAATAAATCTTTTGTAAAATCGGAATGAAGTTAATTAGCTTAATATTTTATCATTTTAAAATAAGAATCAATTCAAGGCTAACACTATCAATTATGGAAAGCAAAGCCTTAAATGAAAAGTTACTAAAAATGGCAATTATCTAAAATAGTAAGTTACTAAAAATAAAATGTTAGGAATCCTAAAATTAACTAAGCAAAATTAAAAGCATGAAATAAAATTGCAATTAAGAAGAGAAAAGATAGAAATAAGAATTGGAAAATACAAATTAAAACTGGAAAAAAATGAACCTTACAAAACATAAAAAGGAATGTTAGCATTTTTAATTGAAAATTAACCTAATTAAAATCCTAACCTAACCTAAAATGCATGAATTATACAGAACAAAAATTAAACATGAAAATGACATGTGAATGCGTAAAATAATGACATAAAACAGAATTTAAAGATAGCCTAAAAGCTTAGCTAAGTACTAAAAAGAATGGCTATCAATTTCCATTGAGGCATTTTATCAAACACCTAACATTCTAATTGCAAACTTCTAAAATAATGAGCCTAACCCTAATGCTAAGAGCCAAAACTAAATCTAAGCTAAACTAAATGAAAATGGCATGAAAGAATGTTGGCCAAAACACCTAAAATAAATAAAAACACTAAAATACCTAAATAAAGCTAAAATGCAACCAATGCAATTTGACTGAATGAAAATATGACTTAAATGAATGCAAACACTAAATGTGACTTCAATAACCTAAAATAGACTTATAATAGGACTAAAAATCTAAGGACATTAACTACAAAAACTGAACAAATTGGACAGAAAAATATAAGGCAAACCATGAAATGTAATGGCCATGAGTCTAAACCCTATGAAATAAAATGCTAAGAAAATGACCCAAGACTATATGGTATTGTAAAAACTAAATGGAATAATCTTAAACTACACTTAAAAATGGACCAAAATGATGGTGAAAACATTTCTCAAAACTGACTAGATCTAGTTAAAAATCACGTACAAACCGTGACATGTAAATGCAAGAAAACTAAAACCTATGAACTTAAATACTATGGAATTGACCGAGAACCCAAATGAACTGGAAAAATAATTGAAAACCCTTAAAATAAACCTAAAAATGAACGAAAAAGATGCAGGAAAGCAGTTCTTAAAGTTGACAGAAAATTAATAAAACAAAGTTCAAACTGAAAGGAAGACAATGGACTAAAATGACAACCAAGTGGACTAAATGCTACTAAAGTGAAAATTAAATTTTTGCAATATGGAAACTACACGTAAGACCTTAAAATAGATTTGAAAGTGGACAAATTTTATGCAAGAAACTGAATTGAAAATGGAACTGAAAAAGGTAGAAAAACAGGTTTGAAAACTAGTAAAAAATATGCATGGAAAATGCATGAAAACTAAAACTACATTTAAGCTATTTTGTCAAACATGCACCGAAGATAAACCATTATCATTTTTATCAACTCAACAACACAAAAAAAGCACATAAACATAAACCGAAAATACAAGGCAGTATTTAGAATAAAATCTGGGCAGTAAATCAAACCAATGCATACAAACTTGAAATTAAAAGAAAAATAAGAGAATTAAATCCTCTAGAACCCCATAGAAATTTTCTCTAGCAAAGGTCACCTTGGACTATCCTTTTTCTTGCAAACATAAGCTCAAACATAAGGCAAAATAAATAAAGCTAGAAATAAAATGAACTAAAAATAGAAATAACCAAACATGGAAGATAAAATTTCATTGACAAAAATTTTAAGGAAACAAAAGTGAACATTTAAATGTAGGCTAAATATAATAAAACAAACTTGAAAGCATAACAAAGCTCAAGTAAAACATGAAAAACAAAGCTTAAAAGGAGCCATAGAAGTCACAGCAAGGTCAGCAAGAGTGCTACCTGCTAGTAACGTCGTAACCACGTGAAGGCATAAAAAGGAGAATGAAGGAAAAAGCTAAACAATGAAGGTTGCGGCTTTCTTTGTATTCTCCTAAAATTTTCTATTTCAAGCTCTAGTCTAAATCTTCAAATGGCTAATCAAGGGCTCCTATTGATCAATCACAGCCCTCCAAAAAGCCAACCGGCTAAAACAATTCTGCTACTGAAAGTAAGGCTGAAAGCCGTGACTTTTTGTAATGCCATTCTCCCCCTTGTGATGCATGATGAGCTGGACCAGTGAGAGATCTTCATTCCTCCACCTAGGACACAAGTTGGCAGCTTGGTCCCCTCTCAAAATGAGCCATTTGGAGGCTGACTTGGTGCAAAAACTAAATGTGGCAGCAAGCTGGCAGCTTTGTGTTGAATTGTCCTCCATGCACTTGTGCCTCCTTGCATGAGCCCACTTGCTTGTCCAATCATTTTCCACCAAAAAGCCACCTTGTAAGCTTGTCGTGCTCCGCATTTTTCTAGCTTCAAGCCTCTCCCATCCGTGGAAACCAGCTGCAGAAAAAGATACCAGAAAATGTCATTTTTATAGTGGTCTCAATTTTGGCTTATGGTGAAGTTGGTCCTTCACTCTCTTATGCTCTCTTTTGCCAATTCTTTGTGCTCCAAATTTGGCTTGTTCATGGCTTGATGGCTTGCTCTCCTCAGTAGGCTCCAAAGTCAGTTTGAAGCTTCTGAACTTTGCTCATCAACTTGCAAGTTAGCTTATACAAGAAAGGAAGCTCTCACATGTACTAGTTGCTAGCTCCCAAGCTTTTCTAAGGCATGACTTTGTTGCTTCTTTTGATCTTCATAGCTTCTTTTTTTAATTAATTTCAGCTCACTTCACCTCCTAAACATGCCTTGCAATGCCTTGAAAAAATTCTTGCTAGGTTCAGCCATTGCAAATATAAGAGAATTAGGTGTGGGCATACTGCTTCCATTCACCTATACATGAAACAATTATAAAAATTAGGTGAGTAATTGAGCAAAAAATGATCAAATGAGTCATAAAAGTGATCAATTAAATACATGATAATTTTATAGAAAAAAAAATAAAAAGAAGAATTATCACTTGTCTAGTGGTCCTGTCTCGTCAGGTCTTCCTCAACTTTCTTAAATAGTCTAAATTAAGCGATTCCTCAAGATCCGGACTGTATGGTTTAAGGGTGTTTGAAGCCAATACCTAGTGTTCCAATTCTTCTTAAATTCAAAACGGTAAAAATTATGGTTAATCAATTTTATCTAATTTTTTTAACATTTTCTATACCTGTAATTGAAGTAGGTTCAGAGGGTCCTATAGTCATTCTGACTGACATAGAGGGATATTTTCTTCCAAAGATTCTGATACCATTGGTTTGAAGGTACAAAAAAGTAAACATTTAAAATATGGTTTGGTTTATTAACCATTTCTAATCCACAATGTATTGCTTATACTCGTGAATCATATAGATTGATGGTTTCTTTACCCTCTAAAATATTTCCACGAATGGGCCCCAGATCAGATCCTGATAAAAAGCTTGGTTAGCTCTCAAATCTGAATGGGCTGATTTAATTTTTCTCTCTCTAAAATTTTTAAAAGACTGATAAAAAAAATTAATAAATTGTGACTTTTTAGGAAAGAAAGATTTGACAAAGAAAATGAGATGAAAAGAATAATCTATTAAGATCCAAAATAAATAAAAAATATTGAATCACAAAATTAAAATGTTGTCAGTTGTTCATTTAATTTTAGATTAATTAATTAATTAATTATATTAAGTTTAACTTAATGTCTGGCCAAAACAAAATCTAACTTAATAAAATATTTAACAATTTATGAAATTTAAAAATTTTCAACAAATAGAATATTTTAAAGCACTTGATTAAGGCAAAATGTTCGTTTTAGCCCATTATTACAATTAATAATTTCTCTTCGCAAAATTGCCCATTATGCTTGATTTAAGAAATTAGAAAAATACAACATTTAAGTTGATAAAAATTAGAAGGTTAAAATATTTTTTTTAAAAAAATCCCTTGAATTATTTTATTTTATTTACATAAAACTCCCATAATTTTGTTATGTACCAATAAATCTTTATCTTTTAATTTATATTTAAATAAACTTTTATTTCTATCGATATATTGATATGCATTTAAGTTTTATTTAAATACAAATTAAAAATTAAAAACTCATTTACTTACATAATAAATATTAAAGAATTATTTTTATTCAAATTAAGAATTAAAAATTTATTTAAATACAATAAAAACATAAAAATTTATTTAAATAAAGTTAGAAAATTCAAAATTCTTTCATTATTTTAGTCAAATTAGAAAGATTAAAATGAACATTTTGCTTCAAAATGGAGACTTATTAAGTATTTTAAGCATTTTGTAACCAAGAATGAAAATTAACCATCTCTCATTTTATCTTAATTTTCTCTCCTACCAAATACCTTAAAAAAATATTTTCTTTTAACATGTGATGCTCATGGACCTGATCATTCATCATTAAAATTGTAGTCACCAATGATGTTTAAGTTCAGTTCAGAACAACAATAAACTCTAACAGAAGGCAATAGACAACGAGAAAGGAATAATAATGTGAAGCAAAACAACGGAAGATAGAAATTCCCTCAATTTCATTGTGTTTCATTAGATCTAATCCACTGTTTGTACTGTTCGCATAAAAAGCCATACACAGGTTGCGTCTAAAGGCCTGCAATAACGTAGTAAATAGAAAACTGTTTCAAAACCGTGTCTGGAAAAAAATGGCAGAAAAGCACAAAGCTATTAATAATTGAAGTTTGTCCCATAATCAACACTACTGCTGTGCCTCTGTACCTAAACAAGGATGTACTTCATTTGGGCAACAATCACAAAATAATGGACATTTACTTGAATAATTATCAGCAGTTAACCAAGAACTTCCGATAAAAGAGAATCCATGAGGGTTTTATTAGGCACTAAAATGGCAGGACAATCAAATTAGCCACTTTCATCTTTTATTGCATGAAATTAAAGTTATCAACTTTTATTCCTGTATAATTATAACCATTAAATTTGAAAATAAATGGCATCGATGGAATTCAGATAATAGAGCACTAACTGGTATTATCTTTGTTTTGCCGGAAACCAAAATATACCATTTAAATAACAAAAACTCGAGTATATTTGTTATTTTTTAACTTGGCAAAAAATTTTCTAAAACGATTTCTTTAAAAAAAATCCTAAAATCAATGAATAAAATTTGTTTCATTCTGTAATAAAAAACCATACATCCACGTCAACATGATGGTCATCGGATCTTAGTCATCCTCGATCTAGCAATATAGGTAGATAAAATTAGCTAGACCCCAATTTTTGTGTGAAGAGGCTTATACCAGGTTGATAATTTTGTCAATAGGGAAAAGAACAAGAAAGGAAGAAAAATGAAGAGGTGAAGAAAAAAAAAAAGAATGAAAACATTTTTAGTACAGTAAAAAAGAAAAAAAAAACTTAATTCAATGGTTTTAGTAATTTATTTTTGGTAAGAAATGGTTTTAGAGAGTTTTTGTCAAGCTCAAAAGTAAAAATATATTTTTGATCTAATTATGTTGTTATTGTTTAAATAATAGCTTTTTTTTCTTTGTTTTTGACCAAAAAAAAAAAAGTTATTGGCTGCCAGCACAGCAAAGATAACATTGGTAAGATACCTGTTAACTCTATTGGACTTAATGTCGATAGTTCTCAGATTTAATGGTTATAATTACAATAGAATAAGAGTTTATAATCTTAATTTCATGCATTAAGAGATAGAGGGTTGATTTTTATTTTTAAGAGAAATTTACGGGTTTATTTGGTTATTATGCCTTAAATTTAACATGCAGCCAATAAAACCTAGCAGAATGGAAAATACCTTGACCACAGAAGAACTTAGGAACGGAATATGAGAGGGTAGGTACAGCAAAACCCACTGCTCCAGCACTACATGAGAAAGAAACAGAATGGAAAGTTAACATGAATTGTTGCTAGTTGCCACTTGCACTGAGACTGAATTCCATACCAATTATCTTGATTCAAATCTCCACATCTCTAAGACGGCTAATGCAAACTATTAGCTGCTCAAAAACAAAATGCACCTATGTTGCTGTGTTGTTTTTCATTTGTTTATATTTTACTTCAAATGAACAAAGACCAACAACCGCTGACTGAACAGTCAAAAAGAAAGGTGTAGGAGGAAATGATGTGAGTGTACCACAGAAAGCGATGGTCCTTCTTTAAACTTGTCATGAAAGGAAAACATAATTGGCTTTGGATTGTTGCCAGGCCCTCTTATAAAACCACTGAATCCAGACAGCAAACAAAAATATCAATTAGCCATTATATATAAAGATCGCCAAAGCTTGGGGGGGCGGGGGGAGGGGGGGGAGGGGTGAAGGCTTGCCATAAAAAAGAGAATGATCTGATTTAGATCATTTCATTCAGATATCAATCTGTGTCAATAATAACCAAAAACAAAAAGCATGCAATAAGAGAAGAAGGGATTCACATTAGCGGTGCAGAACTCAAGGGAGTCATACCCTTAACCCCCATCCCACCCACACACAAACAAACCAAAAAAGGAAGGCATAATGATATCTTTAGATCATTTGTCTTGGAATTCAATGAGAATTAGGAGTGCTCCATGAAAGCTGTGTCTGGTAAATATTTTTCCAACCAAAAACGACAAGCATATGGTAAGAGAACCAGTGACTCACATTAGTGATGTAGAAATCAAGGGATTCCTCCTTGTGTCATATATTGCAATGAGACCTTTATAAATGTCATCCCCTCCTTTATATGATACTGCTAATCGCTCTCCAGAACCATCCCAGGCTATCTTCTCGATTCCCTGACTGCATGACAATTTTACAACAACAAAACAGTTTGTGTGACAATTCAACTTAAGCAGAAGAATATTCTATGCATGAGATCATATGACCTAATAAAATTAACCTTGGGAAAAGCTATATACCCCCAATGACAAGTTTGTAAGCATCTCCACAAATTTAGATGGCTTTAGTCTAGTTATAATGTGAAAGGCTGAATTTGAAAAATAATAACACAGGTTAGGAACTTTGATGGTTCAATTCATATTTAGTCTTAATTTTACATGCATACATTTTAGTAAAAAGATTGCAGAATTTAGTTTTATCTATCAATGATTTTATGAGTGTTTTAATAATTTTATAGCATTTTGTTTGGCAAAGTCTTTTAAGTCTTGTTTTCATTTTTCTTTCCATTACAATGAGACCGTTGTTTATTGTCCAAAACATTCTTTCAAGTTTCCTATTTAGGGTCCATCTTTATTTGCTTGGACATAGAGAAGGAGTTTAACCTATTCTGGTTAAGTTACATCTTACCTCATAGTGATTAGAACATAATTTGATTTGCCATGTTCCAACATGGTAAACATAACACCTTGTTGTTTGCACTGTTAATCAAAAGGATTCTGCTATTTAATTCTTAACAAAGTGACTGAATTGCCTCCATCTATGTATTTAAACATTTTAGATTCTTAAACATTTTTAAAAGGTGAATTAGTTTTTTGAAAATCTAAAAGCTAACTTGATGGTTATATCTACATACTTTTTCCACATTTTGGCAAGTTAAGCTATAAGGATAGTTTTGTAATTTTGATTTCTAGGAAAAAGAGATCTTTAGGATTAACCCTCAATAAGCAAAGGAACAAACCTCATGAGGATTGTTCAACTATTTTTTAACCAAAATGAACTACAATGGGCAAAACATACCTATTAATTTTCCCTAAATCCTTATAGGTGGGTGAACTGTTTTTTAGACATTTCTAAGCTATCATGCTATTAGATGTGAACCTGATGGGAATGTTGGACATCAATATGCATCCAACACTTGTGTATTCATTATCATATCAGTATGCATCCAACACTTGTCTATTCATTATTTTTCTAAGTTTTTCCTTACATTTGGAAGGTAAAACTCCCATAGAAACACCCACTTTGAGGTGTCAGAATCTGTCCAATATGATTACTTCAAGAAAAATGTTGAGTCAAAGCAACATAAGGCTTTTCAAGTATCAAAGAAACCAGAACTGTCTTTCTACTCTTAGAAATATTTCAGCTTTTAGAGCAAAGCCAGACATATCAGTCGTAGAATGCCCAGATACCCGAAAAGACTACTCACTAAGTCAATAAAACCCAATTTTACCCACAACTTATCAAAAAGTTAACCTAGACAAATTCCCACTTCACTTGTACAACTTACATAACAAATTTCCCAAACTTGATTATCTTCATCCAACCTTAATCCCAATCCTATACGCTTTTTGCCCTCAAATGGTCCTAGATATTAGCCTCCAAACCTACGCAGCACAGACATGATCATATAATACGAGTATGACATTATACAAACACAAGGGCAAGACAATTTCTAAAAAATTAGGGTCCTGCAAGTCCGATTTGTAGTCCACCATATTGGAGTTGTGTCCATGTCGAACATGGATACAACGCCAGTCCACGGGTAATTGTTGTGTCTGTGCTTCCTAGCTCCAAACCTTTTTCAATCGTTCTAGCTTCCAAGACATTTACCCAATATCAAGGACTTCGGATGGATGAAAGATAATAATATATCGGAGAAGAGAAGAGGAAATGTCCCTCAACTTATTAGGTTAAGGTGTGGGAAATAATAAGCTTGTTATTTTTCTTTCATTAGGATAAATGTCATAATTGGGGGTAAAAGAAATTAAATCCAAAGCTGTCTTCAGATTTTATTAACCCCTCCCCCTTTCTTTCTTTCCAATATTCAAAAGCCAAGGAAATTGGAAAGACAAGGTTCCTCTTTAACACTGTTTAAATGGAGATCAATCCTCACACATGTTTAGATTTTCTAGGGAAAAGGATTCGAAATGATTTTCTTTATTAATCAAAATTACATCTAGTCTGGCTTTTCCTCTAAATCCAAATCAGAATGGCCAAAGGCACATGGAGCATTCTAGGTGCTAGGACCCTTTATTGCTGAAGGCACAAGGTGCAAACTCAACTAAGTGAAGTAAGTTGCTAATTTCTCAAAGATAATTAATATATACAATACAAAGAAAATTCTCTATATAATATCTAATAAGCTTAAAAGTATATGGATTTTGTTAATAAACACTAAAGAGTTTACTCCACTACATTGTCGAATGCATTCAAAAGATCGAGAGAATAATCATAATTCATAATCACTCAAACGTCCAAGTTTCCTTCGCTTCCATCTTCAACAAAAGGTTGTGTGTCAACGATATTTTTTAATTTTTTTCTACTTGTTAAAAAGAGCTAAAATTGTCCTTTTTATCAAAAGAATAGCTAACAAAAGAAATTTAAAACTAGAAACCAAAGGGGCACTTATGCCAAGCATGCTTTTTGAGCTCTATCACCTTTTAAAAAGTGCAACTAGGAACAAAACGCATGGGCCTGAAGGGTGCAGGGTGCTTAAATTGAATTGCACTGAGCCTTAGTGCCTAGGCAACACTGATACACATTTGGTGATTTCAATTTTAGCAAATTTAACAATTGCCTTCCACTCCCCCTTCCCCATTCCTCTCTCACCAACCAAGAGAACAAGGAATATTATCCTTGACCATCTAAAGAGTTTAATAACAATATCTGCAGAAGTTATTTTACAAATTAAAAATAACATAAAGTAGAAAGAAACTTCACAATACCTGCCTGCCAAAGATATTATCTCTGGCAAATCAACCGGTAATAAGTGGGCATCTGAAGAGAATCATCAAGGAGAACCAATTAGACTCATGCCACTTGCATTATAATGCCTCTATGTACAACTGGATAAATAAAATCCACAGAAACTAATTCAAATAATTCATTAAAAACAAGAAAGAATAACTTTATACAAAACCAAGTATAAGAGAAGGCACATTGCGAGGTGCAAAGGGACATGGAAACAGAGAAGGTGGAAGTAAAGGAAAATTTTTTTTCTTTTCTGCTTTCCAAAAAAAAAAACCTATCAAATGTAAACTTCAATCTTCAATGTCACCAATAGAAGATCAAACTTTGAAAGCTCGTTACCAGCATGTTTTGGAACCATAAGAAAAAGGGAAGGAGAGGATAGAAGGGTAACAAAAAGTGGGGAAGCAAAGCATACATTTCCCCTTGTTTTGATACCTGCAAAGGGGGAGGCAAATGGAAAGGAGGGGTACATTACCAACCCTGTTTGGTTAATGACAGGAAAGGGAAGGGAATGATAACTTATCATGTCATGTAATTATTTTATTTTCTCCTTCACAAGTTAAATTACATGTAATTAATTTGTCTTTGCAGTGAAAAATTTTTAATTAAAAAAGGGGTAAATAGAAAAGCATTGTAACAAATTCTCTTTTTTATAACAATTTATCTATAAGAAAAAGAATAGAAGAAAATGAAGGGGGGAAAAAAAAGACAACCTGAACCAAAAAAGTTATAAATAAAAATGGTGGTAACTTTGCAAGCACATTATAACAATAATAAGAAAATGGTAAAAGAAAAAGAAATCAGAAACAGCAGCAAAAACCCAAAATAGAAAATCTTTATTACTGAAGTCCAAAAAAAAAAAAAAGATAACAGTTATCCACATTTAATCCTTCGAGTTTCTCTTCGTTCCACATAACTACATGCAAGTTTTTAATTCCACTACTAAGAATAGGTTGATGGATAGCAGAAACTCTTTAACTAGAGCTTACATACCCAAAGATGGAGGTTTAGTTGCAAAGTGTATAGAACCCAATGTTGAAGACCTAGAGAAAGCAAGCAGGACCATACGACCATCAGGATCCCAGGTTGCACCCTGATAACAACAAATGATTGATCACTAAAACCTAAAACAAGTAAAATCTAATGTCATATCAGTAGCATCCAACGGAATTCTGTTTGACATGATAAAACTATAAGAACTACAAGCTGACAAAATATGTTGCATCAATAACCGTTAGGATATAAAATTTTACCTCCTTCAAGATAATAAAGAGAGAGGTCAAAAATTAGTACGAATGTATATTCATTTTACCCAGACATGCTTTAAAAAATATAACCCTTTCATACTCTGAAGTATAGCAGCAACCAAGCATGCAATGCCAAAGCTGCAAAAGCACATTTTTCTATTGACTGATCATTCATCTCCTTCTAAAATATTGTGAATTGGATAAGCTAGAAGGCAAAAAGAATTGCTTTTAATGTTTAAAAGTATAAGGGTAATAAACTAAAACATGGAAATGACTACAACAGGAGCTAAATGGGTAACCTGTATTGCCAATGGGCAATGGACAGCATCCCACCTTAATCCATTATTACAACTGCCAGAGGAAACTGTTACACAAGATTTACACAGAAAGTATACCGCCATAATCACAGAAGAGTTTCCCAAATTATATAAAGGTAGCATTTCTTCCAACGAAATGTACTATAATCTTAAATGAGTGGGCTAACGTTCACATTTACCACTGTACTTAGGGTTATAGATCAATTTACCACTCATCTTTGAACACATGAAACTTTACCACTGTACTTTCTAATTTACTCATCTTTGAATGGATGATAACCAGCCTCATTTGTACACCACTCATGTTAAAAGTAAGTTAAGTTAATTATGCACCATTCAATGGAATTTCCAAGCATAGTTTAGGCATTTTTATACTCAAAATGATAAGGAAAAGATTCACCCATAAGGAAAATTCTAGGGAAAAATGAACTCCTAACAGACATAATGATCTAAACATACAATTTTGTCCCATACTAGATATCTTAAAAAAAAAGTGGAAACATAATCCCCTTTTGGCAAATCACCCTAAAACTTACAATCCAAGAAAATTGAAACAGATAAAATAAAATGACAAAAGGGTAGTCATACTTCAAGCAGCTATTAGGCAATATCTCTATATCTTGCAAACTTTAACATTTAATAAATATTGTTCAATGGTTTAAAAATAATATAACCTACTGTGACAAATCCACTGGCTGAAGACCACGGTTCAGATGTCCATGTGTTTGTCTCCCAAAGATAAAAGGTTCCATCACTACAACAGGATAGACACATTAGCTGACATGTTTGGTCAAAATTAGACATAAAACTCAGGAAACATGTTATGTCCATACAATTTTCCAGAAAAAAAGTAATCTCCAATTGGAGACCATTTAATCACTGATGTTCCCCCTATTCCCCGTCGAATGGGTGTCCCAATGCCTGGAAATTCCAAGAAATACCATTAATCCAAAATATAGATTAAAATCTCTGAAGAAATAATATCTACATTGAATATATATTTAAGATGACAGTAGAAATTATATTTTATGCAAACCGCTTATAGTATGAATATGATGATCATTTAGGTTTGTCAAAAAAGAAATCGCCAAAGGGATCCTTTGATAGCACTTCACATCATCTTTCAAATCTAACAAGTATGTAAATAACCCAAGGGCTTCTAGATGCCCCTTATTACTATATATTTCTTGTTTTGACCTTCCAACCATCTAGAACATTCTTTTGCTCACAAGACAGCATTTATGAGAAATGACCAAGGATGAGTTTTAAAGGGATTCATAATTTTGCTCTTGTTAAAAAAATTACTAGGTAAAGAAGCTTGAAGAAAGAGTAACAAAGTGGATATGTCTATTTTAAAAAGAGTATGTTCAAACAACGAAGTTGAGGGAAGGAAGATGTACGACAGAGGTGATTAGGGTTTATGGCAGCTTTTTGAATTATTAAGAAAAGAGAGAAAATTGAATAAAGAATTCCATAAGCTTCAAGCTAGGGTTCCTTAAGAGTCACATCTAAGGCTTTTTTTTTTTTTTGTTCTTTTATCCTTTGGCTCGGCTATACAAGAAGCTATAACTCTCCACTTTCTATGAACTGCCCAAAACTTTACCAGATTAAGCTTACTTGCACATTTATCACACCTAAGATCAAGTACATTATACATCACAAGCAAATGCACTGGAAAATTCACTGACAACAATTGAAACCCCAAACCGAAGGTTACGTTGATATATATACAGACTCCTAGCATCCATAATCCAATAAGAACCGCACTCCAGATACAACAAGAACTTAAATGAAAATTTAGACTCTCCAATTAGGAAGTTATCCAATTACGAAACCAAATAAGTAAGAAACTTAACTAAGAAAAACAACTAAACCCTAAATATAAATCATGAATAAGTGTATAGAGTTAAAACCTGCAATCTAAAAGATATAAACTAAGAACTTGAAAAGTACCTGATACTTACAGTTCTAAAAAAAACCTTCAGCCTTTAACTTAAAATAAAAAATTTAAGAATTAAAAGCAACTAATCAAGCCTAACCAAACTCCCAACTAAGTTTCTCGTCAGCGAATATGAACCAAATTAGAGGGTGTGTCATCAAAAAGATTACCAATCTTCTTAACACTCGATTAAAAAATAGTTCAGGAGAAACTAACTTTCATAAGTATACCTTGGGCAACATCCCAGATTGTGAATGACGAGCTTTCATATGAGGCAGAGGCCAAATATGTATTGAAATGTTATGGAATACATTTGAATAGTTAAACCAACCACATTCCCATTCCTACATCCAACTCCTAAGCACAATCTAATCAATGAATAAAAGTGATAAAATATAAATCAATATCACAAGTAATCAGTAAGGATATCTTCCACCAGGACTCCAAGAAAGTGCACTTATTTGTTCATCATGAGGACTTCGAAAAAAATCCACTAGAGTCCACCGAGTCCCAGAGCCTCTAGAGAGTGCCCCCAAGAATGAAGTAGAACCAGATCTAACTGATGCTGCATTCCCTGGATAAGATGCCGACCAAATGCAAATTCCACCCCTATAGAGCCATAAACAATTGAGAAGAATGAAAAAAATATATATTAGTAACAATTTGTAAAATCAGGATACTTGCTTGCATGCCACAGAAAGTGACTTTCCACCGTTTGGCCTCCACTCTAGAACTTTAACATCTCTTTGGGACTCACTTGTTAAAATGCATGGTTCCTTCCCTGTTGTTCAAAATATTCAAAACTTGCATGCATCAAAAAGTGACCAACTGAAGTGATTTTATTTTACAAAACACACAGAGAGAAAAGTAGGACAGAAACAAACAAAAGATGAAAAATAAGTTAACGAAATTTAGCATAGAATAATATAATAAGTTGCTCACCTGAATCTTCATAATCACAAACTGTCACCTGATTAGAACCAGATATAAATGCAAGGATATGTTTGTGCTGATGCCAGCTCACACCTTGGAGAGCAACTTCTGGTAACAAATCAATCTATAAAGCTTATCAAATGAGACTGCAGACTTAAAAAGCAACAACCACCTTCTCTTTTAATGCTATTTCTGTGCAAGCGCTTTCAAGGTGACTAATACAATATCATGCTATTTTAAGATAAACAGGTATTCCAATACGGTTATCAAATTGGTTCATACTATATAAATATCTTGGTATTCCAATCCAAGAAAGATTAACCATGGCAAAAAAAAAAAAAATTCATAATGGCATATTTCTCATGCTATGGAAGAAAATTTTTAAATTAGAAGAATAAATTAGATTACTTTTGGGAAATTTAAACCATCCCGACGCCCATCAATTAACAACCAACAAATACTAAAAAAGCCAATATATATCTATGAGAAAACGAATACAAATATAATTGGAGAAGGAAATGAAAACTCACATCGTTGGATTGAAAAATGTGTTTGAGGGAGCGAGTGATCATTTCCTGAAACGAGATTCCATTAGTGAAAACTTACTAGGAAAAAGGAAAAAAATTATAGTAGTAGAAACGAAGGAAATCGCACAAATCCTTTGGGCCGAGAGACGGGAGCATTTGAAGTTGCCGGAGGTTCGGTGGGATCCTCTACCGAATGAAATGGAACCGGACTGAACACTATTCCCTGAACATAGCCAAAGTCTCAAATTCCAGTTTTACAAATATTCAGGAAAAAAAATTAATCGATTGATGACATACAAGAAGCTTTCCATAAGTGTCATTGGCTCGAACATCGGAAAGGGCATCGGCAGTAACTGCAGATTAATACTACATTACTGCTGCTGCTAATCATTAAAACAATAAAAAGAACATAAAAAAAAAAAGAAGGAAAAGCTAGGTCTCTGGTTTTGCTGTATGCTTTTGGGGATGAAAGAAGAGAGAAAAGAGGTACCTAAATCTCGGTTGATTTCGCAGATGGTAACTGAGCCAGGCTGTGGAAACGAAGGCATTATATCTACCTCTTTCTTCCTTTGGGGTTTAGAGCAAAACAAAAGAAAAGGAGTAAGAACAATTTTTTAGCTTCAACCGGGAAAACTCCAGGGAGTCAGGGATAGGGTTTTGCTCCGCCCAAATTAAGAAATTTAGTACTAATTTGTGATGATTTTATTTTTATGTAAATATTTACATAAAATAATCATATTTTAACTTCAAGTTTAAAAATCTAAATATGATTTATATGTTGCTTTTATATATATATATATATATATATATATATATTAAATTTCAAGTTCATGCTCAATTGCCAAAGAGTAAAAAAAGTTATAGACTTTTAATTTAGTTGTAGAAATAAAATAAAATTATGTATTCATAATTCAAATATTAAATAATATATAAAAGAAAAAAATTTGTATAATTATTTATATTTTGAATATTTATATTAATAGAAATAAATGATGATTAGATATTAAATTTATTCATGAAATACTTATTTGTTATTATTATTGGATCATAAAAAAATAAATTATATAACTCAACGCTGACAAAGATAAATATATGTAATAATTCAAGAAAAAAAATATATTAATTTAATACACTAATTGTTGCAAAAAGATTAATGAAAAACCCTTTAGTCTCTATTTAAAAAAAAAATCTAATTTTCCCCTTAAAAGTATATCTTATATACAAATGTTTTAATGTTGCATCTAATTCAATAATTACATCATCACTTTTCATAATTCCTTTTTTCTCTTTTGCCTGGCTTCTACCAAAAAATCCTAAAGAAAAGCTCAATCTTGTCAGCAATAGTAGGTGGTTGATTTCAACATAATATAACTAAAAGTGAACAATTCCTTAAAAATAATGGTTAGCCAAATTTAAATTAAGAGAATGTAAGATTAGGGAGATAATTCTTAGAGGTTAAAACAATTATTATTGTATGTTTTCCCAAATATCAGTCAATAACTAATATTTTATTGATGATTTCGTACATATTCACCAATAAAGTAAAGGTTTTAATTTCAACTATATCTGGGTACAATGCCTACACTTAACTTACCATAGCATTTCAATTACTACCATATTACTGTTAAGAAAATTAAACATGATGCAATATTAATGAAACAAGTAAATTTTCAACAATCTTACGTGTTGAAGATGTCATGAATATTAACCCTCATTCCTCCTCTGCCTTTGTTGGCAACATGCTACTTTAAGCCCTCTTCTCCATACTTATATTCCTCTCTTTTTGCTATCTGATAACACCTTATATGTTAATCATTCATCAAATAGATTAATCATTGAAAAAAAATAATTAATTCCATCACAAATTATTTTTCATAAACAAAAAAATTAAATAAAAGAGTTATTTTATGATTGTTAATCTTAGCAAATCACTTATTAGCCTCTTCATTAAGTAAAAGGCAGTAACCATATTTGAATGAAAATGCTAAAGAGTAAAAGGAGATGAAAGGAAAACAAATTATACATCAAAAAATCTAATACGTATTACCTACAAAAGAGCAGTTTAGATGCTTACTTTGAGCGATGTCTAGACGTAGTGTTCATTAAGCATACAATTATGGCCATTTGTTTTCCAAATGTTTGTCATAATAATGGGTATAATGCCTATGTTCAATGGTCAATACCAAAATACCTTGACATGGCCTTAGTGGTTTTGGCCTTTGCTTTTCTCATGGTTTGACCAAACCCTTATCATCTCTTTGATCATTGTTACTTAGTTTTCTTGTTAAGTTTATTCATGCATAGTTAGTTTACAAAATGTTTGTAAAATTGCCTTAACCATTAATTTCCATACTAGTTCCATTTCATGCATCAAATGCATTTAGCAGGCATTCACAACATGTTTATCAATTTCATGTGCATTATTCATGTGACATTTCCATGGCCATCAAGCCTTAAATAAATTTCAAAACCATGTTTTTGTGGCTTGCTCCAAAAATTAGCCTAAATGTTGGAGATTTTTAGAGAAGTTCACAAAAATCATGGTAAACCCTAAATCCAATTCCAAACCTTTAAATCCAAAGTCAACCATTAAACCCCAAGGTGAAACCCTGATACCCCATGGTCAAATCCTAAAACCAAGGTCAAACCCCTTAACCTTAAGGTCAAACCCTAAACCCTATAGTTAAACCCTATACAAAGTCAAACCTTAAAACCTTACTCAAAGCCCTAACCCTAACCCTAATTTTAAACTAACCCTAAACCCTAAATCAACCTAATCATAAACCAAACCCTAAAACTTAAACTTGGCCTTCAACCCTAAATTTGACTCAAACCTTAAGTCCCACCCCAAACCTTAAATCATCAAAACCCCAAAACCAATCAAACTCCAAAACCTTTGAATTTATTTCAACACCCAAAGCCTTCCCAAAATTCAAAGAATTCATGTAAAAATTTTATATGAAGTAATATGTTCTTAAATACTATCCAAGGGATAAGGTACTTAGGAAATTTTATTTCATTAAATTTTTCGTATGATTCCTTAACCTGAAATAATAATAAAATTAAAACAAAAGAAAAGAAATAAAAATAGGATCTTAAATATACATATTCATGCATAAACTCTACTTACAGTTTAGAAAGTCTGGGTGGTTTTTTTATCATAACTTTCGCTCGTTGCTTACCTTAGTCTACTACTGCTTGAATAGCATTTCTCACTAAGGCTTAAGTAGCAAAAAAAGTCCCTCTTTTTAGACCCTTAAATCTACAAGTGCTGGTGGAGAACCAAGAAATTATTCAACCTTATACATTTGTAATAATAACAATGGTATTGTTGAAACTTGCTTGAACGTGAATAACTTTTTTTGTATTCTATGCTCACTTTTCCATGTACTACTGTAGCAGCTATTCCTACATGAACCAACTTTTGGTATAGGTTTTCTCATTTTATCATTTCATAAGGATAAATCTCTTTATATTTAAGGACTTGATTTCAAAATCATATCTCATCCTCATGCATAGCATCCACTTGCATATATTTATTTTTAAATTATTATTGGCATTCATTTCACATGTTTATGTCTTTTAATTATTACCATTTCTTTGTTAATTGTAGCATCATTGGTCTTCGCATAAAAATGCTTTTTTCATGGTAATTGTATATATGAATTTTGAAATAAAACTAAAATATCATTCCAAATGACATAATTCTTAGTACTCTGGCTAGAGGTTGGAAAGTCACTAACAATTATCATCTGTAAAGAATGTTATTTTCATTTTAAAAAAATGTCATGGTGAATCTAAGATGAAATGAGTTATTTTTAAATTTTGCCCAAATGTTGAAAAATTTTAAGGTAATTTTTTAACTTAAAGATTTCCACAATATTCCTAAATAAAGTTTTTTATCAAATATGATTGAATTTTTTCAAAAAGTGAAGAATTATTATTAAACATCAAATTGGAACCATATTTATCCAATACCAAAAGATAATGCATGATTAATTGATACTATTTTTAAATAGATGTTTAAAAATGCTAATCTTTCCCACACATTACCATACTCCTAAACCCAACTCTGTTTTCAAATATCAAAATATCTTTTTGATAAACCTAAAATTCATTTTTGATTTTATTAAAAAGATAAACTTTTTAGGTGTTTAATCACACCTAACAACAAAAATTGGTAATGACTCCATTTTTTTCAATTTTTAAAATTTTGCATCCTACGATCGAGTTCATAGACCCACACGTTGCGACAATTAAGTATATTAATATGGGCATTTTGTTGTCCTAAAGGTATAATGGTCTTTTCCTTGTAAAGAATGACTTAATAGATTAAAAGGACATTTTTAGTCATTTATACCAAGCTGACATGTCAAGTCGACTTTATTTTTTAGAGCTTACCTCAGCCCTACTAGTATGACAGCCCATCAGACATCATGTGAGAAAGTTGATGTGTCATTCGAACATTAGGAGTCAATGCACCACATTAACTCGGGTTGTGCCACATCAACCAAATATGCGATTCTGCAGGTTAGGTCATTTAGACTCAACCATACCTTCCCTTAGGTATAAATACCCCACTTACTATAGGTAAATGGATTCCAACGCATTTTTCCTCATTCCTCTCCATTCTTTATATTCCTTCCTTATTTTCCAATTACTTAGTTGAGCATTAAAGCATAAAAGCTTTACTTCTAATTGACTTTCAATTTTGTGATTTTAGGTTCTAGGTCCTTCAATATAGATTTAAAGCAAACATTTTAGGGCCCTTAGTAAGGGGCTTAATTAGTTAAGTTAGGAATGGCACTGAGAAAGAAAGTTGTAGAAGAGGGAGATAATCCTACAACAAGTAAGGCGTCTATCTTGAGTTCAACCAACCAAACCAAAATCAACCTTAATTTACTATTAGTATAAAACAATTCAAAGATTTAAACTAGCAACTTGAGAGCTTAAGAGAGCTTAAGAGAGCTCATCCATAATTACACACCACCTAAACTATCAAAACATCCAGTTATAGCCTAAAAAAATAACACTACCTAAGAAAATCGACCTATAAAGATAGCAAACTAGGTCCTTGGCTTTTATGGAATAAAAAACCCCCAAAAAATCACCACCCATCAACCTAAAAAACTCATATATTCTAGATGACTAAACAAACCACTCTTGAGCTAGCATCCAATAGAAAGTTTGAAGCTCAGAAAGAAAGAATGGAAAAAAAGATCAAGAACAAACTTTTCATGTTTACATAAAAACTAAAATTTTTAGAAACCTCACCCTTTATTAAAGAATTCAACCAAGCTCCATCTTCACTTAGTTTTAGAATACCGACCATTAAAGCTTATGATGGTACATTTGATCTTTTTGATCACCTTGAATTGTTTAGAACAATATGATGATATAGGGTATAGATGAGCTGCTAATATGCAAGGCTTTTTTAGTTACATTAAAAGAAGCTGCTCACACTTGGTATTATAGCAATTAACTGATGTTTATTAGCTTTTTTAAAGAGCTTAGTCATTCTTTCCTCAAGCCTTTTATACTTAGCTAACAAACTAAGAAGACCACCCTAAGCTTGATTTTAATGCAAAAGTTCTTCAAAATAAAGACTTAAAACACATGGCAGCTGTGGCCACCTTGGCAAATGGTTTGGACAATAAAAAGTTTTACTTTAATATCTATCTCTTACTAGAACCCTAAAATACATGTTGACCTATTCCAAAGAGAAGAAAAATACATAAATGC